TAAATTCAACCACCAACCTACTCTTCCAACAGCAAGGACCAACCATCCAAGTCCTACACAAAAAGTGCCATATGCTCTACACAGATTTGTTGTGATCCTTTATAAGGAGAAACGAAATAAATAAGGCAGACGATAGAACATCCATTGATATTGAGAACGATTCAAATCCTCTTCCATTTTACCAGATGTATCTTGGATCAGAAATACACTGCCTCATACAATCAGAGGAATACAGACACAACCAAGACTTGCTAGAGAATGTCTTCAGCACCTGCACACAATTTCTCACCATTGCTTGCTAAGAAATGAAAAAAAGGTTCCCTCTTGCAAACAGGCAAATTCAAATGTGCCACATTTTTGTCCCCCAAAACTTTCTGGATGAAGGATCTAGTGTCGATGCCATCTCTGAGAGACCTTGTCACTGCTTTTCCGAGGATCTCTATTAATCCACAACATCTGGATAATGAATGGAGAGCAGTAGACCATAATCCAATTCCGGAAGAAATGAGGAATATTATAAACCCGGAAACATTTTTTACAGCAATCGGTACCCTTCGGGATGAGCTAGGACATCGCATGTTCGAAACCATTTCCGAATTTGCTCTACAAATATGAAGTTTACCTAAATCTAATGTTGTAGAAATGTTATTCTCGAAGGTAAACTTGTTGAAATCAAAGATCAGAAATAAAACATCACCCCCCCAATCCCTTGCCCGTTGTTGTCGTGGGGGGGCTTAGGAGACGAAGACTGAGACCCAATACAGGGATCTCACCTGCCTAGGGCCTCAGCCCTCGACTCAACTAATTTTGCATGGTCTTTTTTCTCTCTCCTTTTGTTTCCGTCTCTTCTCCATCCCCTTCTGCTATTTACTTCCTAAGGTGTGAGAGCCGTGCTGAGAGGATGAAAAGCTGACCTAGTGCCAGTCCTGAACGGCCTGCGGGGACTATGGGCACGGTACTCCTGACTAATCTAGCCCTTACCTTCAGTAGCGAAAGGAGGTGGACCGAATAGGCCTATTTACATAATCCAGGTTCCCCATGACCAGTAATGAGAATGTAATCCCTTTATTAGAGGCTATGAGGCTAGCCCCTTTATCAAATAGCCCCAACCCAGGCTCTCCTTTGACCACGGCTCCGGACACTGAAACTACTGCCCACTCCTCAATGCCTACTAGTGCATTACCCACCCAAGCAGAGAATCAATCTCCAGAAGACATTCTACCCACCCAACTTCCTCAAATTCAACTCCACCCCTGCAACCTTCATCAAACAACCAATCCTCCCTTATTACTACCTTGCAACCTTATTCTCCATCATTCCGTAATACTCCCTCTTCCACACGTCCCCGACTATCCACCACCACCAACCCTACAGATATCTTAAATACTCTGTTTAGCCCCAGCTAAATGGACCGATTTTTCGTGATCCCTGCTACAGCTCCTTACTCAGCAACACTCTTCTCTTTCAACAATGCCTCCAAAAACAAGTAGGTAGAGTCCCTTTTCTATACCAGACGCGATCGCCTCCCGTCTGGTAACAGTCAGATCAGAAACTGAATCTTATAGCACTGTCAAATTTAACTGATCATTCTGGCAACCCCATTCCAGCAGAACCTCATCCAACCCTTAATACCTGTACCGGAACTGCTCTCTTCTCTCCCCAGCAAACTGCCCAGTCGATACCAAAGATTGGTCAGACTGTGGAGAGACTGTATCACGATGCCTCAAAGACCAAGATGTGCAATTCAGATACATCTTGCTACACCATTCCTCCTAAGGTCAACGAAAAGATCGAC